TGACTCCTGTCAGGGGGACAGGACTGGGATGGGTGAGGGGTCCTTGGGACAGCAGGCCCATCCTGTGTGGCCTGGTGGGGGGGGAGCCAGGGTACAGATGCCCCCACACCCTCTCCTGCCTGCAGACCCTCCAGGGTAGACCCCAGGCCACAGTGAGGATGTCTGCCCACTGGGCAGACGGAGGGAGGGGCTGGCATGCAGCCCAGATGGAGCCCTGGCCTGGTGGCCTGGACAGCTCAAGAAGGGGCCCGAGGGTGCCCACCTGGCCTTGAACGGCCCTCATGCTGCACCCCATCGGGGGCCCACAGCCCCACGCGTCTCCCAGTGTGGACCACTCTGCTTCACTGACCGCCCAGGTGCCTGTGTCCCCCCACATCTTTCTAACCAACCAGCTCCTTGCTAATTGCGTCGCCAGGTGTCTGGTCACCCACAAACGGGACGGGCTCTCACCTCAGGGCTGATAACATTTTAGGGTTTTGATTCTGGCAACTGGAGGAAACAACTTGGCCTAGAACCGGCGAGGCCCCGGGCCCACAGCAGCCACTTGACGGTAGCAGCGGGGCCTGCGCCGGCTTTATTCACAGCAAGGTCTCTCCGCCTTGGTCTCGATGTCCTACACAGGTGATTAGGGAGTCTAATTGAATCGGCTATAAAAAGATAATTAATTGGCTTTTCCCTCCCAGAGAGGTCAGGCTGCCCGATCTCCCTGGCCGGCTCGGCCTCCTCTCTCTGGAGGCAGCATAGTGACCTTTATCTTGCTGATAAAGCTGTAATTGTTGTAATTAAAATCGACATAAAGGCTTCAGAAGTCACTCGCGGGAGCGGAGGACAGGCGTCTGCTCACAGGGGCCTCCTGGTGGGCCGCTCTGGCTGGGGGACCCCAGAAACAGGCCAGGAGCAGCTCCAGGGGCCCTGGAGGCCAAGGCAAGACGATCACCCGAGAACAATGTCCCCTTGAGCACACGAGGGGACATGGGACATTTCTGGCCCTTGGGGGCACCCTCAGGCCCCCGCAGCCCAGACGCAGGGCTGGTGGACTCCGCCAGGATCTGGTGTGCTTGGAAGTGGCCGCTCGGACTGAGGAAGCCCCAGCAGGAGGACGGCCGCCCCGTTCCCGGAGGGGATCTGCCGTGGCAGTGCCGGGGCCTCGCTGCGTGCCCAGCGGCGTCTCTGTGGCTGAGTCTGTTCTCAGACGTCGGGGGTCCTCCCATGCAGTTGGGCCCCTGGGGACCAGGTCTTCAGCGGGGCGGACAGGGTGAAACAGGGGCCAACGAGGGGCCGTCGCACCGCAGCAGCCTCACAGTTCAGCTGCGTGAGCAGAGGCTGGAGGGCCCGGCGTCCAGGAGGCTGAGGCTGGTGGCAGCCGGGGATGCGGGAGGAGGTCAACAGGAGTTTGGAGCCGGCACGGACGGCGCCTGAGTGAGAATCTGCATGCTAGATGGAGTGTGAGGAATGGACCAGAGAGCCGAGCTAGGCGGAGAGGCTGGGCAGTGGCCTGGACCCCGACTGGTGACCATGGCATCGCCCATAAGGACAGGGACCGAGAGGGCTTGGGAGACCAGTACCATCGCCCATGCTCCTCACCAAGAGGGGACTGAGCTGCAGGAGGGGTGGCAACAGGCCTGGGGGACCCAGGGCCCCATGGGGTGGGAGTGTCTGCAGGGAGCTGGAGGCGGGGGCTCCTCTGGGTAAACGCAGTGCTGACATCCACGGTGAGTGAGGTGCCCACCCAAGGAGGGGGCGGGATAGGAGAGAAAGGGCCGGGTGTGCCCAGGACAGGCGTTGGATGTCCAGCAGAGGGGCCAGGGAGGGCAGCCAGTGGGGACAGCGGGAGAGAGGTTGTCTGTGGCCGCTGACACCGGAGCAGGTGGGTGGGTGTACTGCAGGGTGGGGCCCAAGCAAGCCCCTGACGTCGGGGGTGGGGGATGCTGGGCCGTGGTCATGGGGGGCCTGGAACCTCAACAAATGTGGAGAAGCCTGTACTGACCGTCCCAGCGCCCTGAGCGATGCAGCACGAATGGATGGAAACCCCACGGCAGACTAAAGAGCCGCTGTTCTCAGTGGGAGACAGAAACCTGAAAGGCCTCTCCCGGGCCTGCTGAGCACCATGTCTTGATCCGGAACCCCCAGATCCCCACGAGGCTTGCGGCCTCATCAAGTGCCGCCAGGCCACCGTGCTGCCTCCCCAGCCTGTCTCCAGCCAGGCCTGGACGCCACCCAGCCCACAAATGTTCCACCCGGCAGTCCACACACAAGCCACCTGAGGATGGGGTGGCCAGGGATGGCGGGCCGGCCTGTCTGGACGTCACACATGCAGAGCAAACAGAAGCTGGCTGTCCAACTGGACGAGCCAGGAAGCCACCATCCAGCCAAGACAGAAGAGGCGAAGGAGGCAGTAGGGAGCGTGTCCAAGGAGCAGGGCAGCGTGTGTGGCCAGAGGGGGCTGACCTGGCCAGGCTGGACTGTGTTCTGGGGACAGTGGGGGCAGCGGCCTGGCTCCGTGGGGGTTATTGGGAAACAGATCTGAGGGCGAGGGAGGACCCAGGAGTCCAAGAGAGCAGTGCCATGTAGGGGGAAGTGCTGGGGCCCGTGGGGGACGTGGTGGGCACGGTGGATCCAGATGCATTTGAGACAGAGTTGGTGCTGCTGCCAAGACCAGAGGAAGCGTGGGGACCAATGGGGCTGCCCCTCCCCCCGCTTCTGGCTCAAGGGCCTGGGTGGGTGCCAGGCAGATTTGGGGGTTCCCTCTGAGAAGTAAGCATGTGAGGCTGGTGGAAATGGCAGGAGGCGGTCAGCAGCCCAGCTCAGTGTGGGCAGCACGCGTCTGTGGAGATGGGTGCCCGTGGTCAGTAAGGCCCACCTCCAACCCCGTGTCCAGGTCGTCCTGACTCCAAAGGCTGCCCTGTTGCCCACCCCCCTCCCCTCCACGTAGGGCAGTCCCATGGGGTCCGATGCACGTCCCAACTCCCAGTCCCAGGCCAAGGGCCAAACGTGCCTGGGGCTGCAGACACAGCTGCCTTTGGGGTTTAAGCCAGCCTGTGCTGGGTTCTCTCCCTTGCAACAAAGAGAGTCCTGGAGCCGCCACCGCCTCTGCCCTTGGACTGGGAATGCTGCGTCCCAGGGTCTGCCCTCCCGGCTGGGAGCTGCAGGCGCACCTGAGCCACCATCGGGTTCCCTGAGTCCTCTCCCCGCCAACTCCATCAGTTTGATTTCAGCGCTGCGTGTGCTCCCGGGAGCGCCCGAGGCTCCCACTGCACCGTCTGAGCCTTGGTCTCCCTCACTCACACCTGTGCTCCAAGGAGGCGCCGCGAGTTTCCCTGAGAGCCTCCCCTGAGTGCTCGGCGCCCATGACGGTCAGGAGGACTGGCTGCTTCAACAGCCCCGCCCTGAGCCCGACGGACATGGCTTGGATGTGCGCTGATCCGCATGCCAGATGCGTTTCCATGTCCCCACCCGGTTCCCAGCCCCCAAAGGGCGTTTTTTGATCCCAGGTCTGGAGCTGCTGCTCCAGCAGGAACCAGAGGCCTTAGCAAGTTCTAGCTCCGGCTGGGGTCCGGGCCAGCGTGGTCACCTTGGCAGAGGGCTGTTAGGACACAGCACGGGGGTCTTTATTGTCCAGCGGTGTCGATAAAAGAGGCAGGCCAAGCTAGCTCCTCTGGAACCCGCGTGGAAACCGGCGGTGCATGAAAAAATGGAAATTGTGCCGTCAGCAGCGCGGTTCCCCGCTATTGCCCAGGACGTAAATAGTGGGAGGGCAGCAGAAGCTAATGGGCAGGAGGACGTTAGCTGGAGAACGTCCTTGCGGAAAGAAAGACTTTCCTCTGTATAATGTGTCATAATGATGAGATTAAGACACCTCTGAGAGAAATAATTCCCCGCCTGCAATTTGGAAATACTTCTTGGGCCCGTCGCCGCCTCTCCCTGCAGAAGGTGGGCCCTGGGGAAGGGCTGTTAGTGGCTGAGGCCCCAGGGCCCCATCCAGAGCACGGATGACAGACCCCCCTCCACTCACCCCGAGCCCCTACCCTCCAAGGGGGACTTTGCCGGCAGGAGTGTCCAGCCACCTCCCCGAGGCCAGCTTTTGCTAACGTGCGTGCCCCACTGGTATATGTGGGCTAGGCAGGGACCCTGGGGACAGGCTGGTCAGGAGAGCCTGGATGTCCAGCCTCCATAGGAGAGCGGGCCTGAGGGGCACATGTTTGCGTCAGTCTGGGTGGTCCTGCACCAGGGCCACGACCCAGCCCCACCCCGGCTCAGCTGCCGCCTCCTGTGCAGAAGAGATGAAGGAGGGCAGCTGAGGCTGCCTGGGGGTAGCGGAAGGAGCCTGGGGACATGCCTGCAGGAAGGGACGCTCCTGTCATCCTCACACCTTGAGACGGGGAGGCCAGGATGGGCAGGGGTCCCGGTGGGGTGCCTGCTGCAGAGGCAGAAGGCTGAGCCCACTCCTCTGACATTCTGTGGCGCTGGAGACTGTCAGGGTCTTGCCTTGCGTGGCCTACTGACAGCTGCAGGCTCTCCTGAGCTCTGTGCTCACACGGATGTGGCCTGACATCACTCGGGCCGTGGGAAAGTCCTCTGGTCACACTGCTTAGAGAGGGTGCTGGGCTCTGCCTGGCTGAGCTCAAGGCCTCTCTCCGGGGGCCGGTCCAGGCCTGGCCAAGATGCCCAGGGCCTCAGCCCTCAGGAGACCCCCCTGCCCCAGGGCATCGCCTGCCAGGCCTGATGGTGGACCCCAGACGAAGGGGTCAAGGGGCTGTGGACCCCAAAGGACACTGGCTACAGAGCTGCTGTCTACACCAGGCCCAGCCTTGCCCCTGCCTGGCCTCTCCCCTGGAGGTGGCCTTGTGGCCAGCTCTCTGGGCAGCAGGGCCAGGACCCCAGCCCCGCCGGGGCCCACGTGGCCGTCCATGGACGTCTCACTTGAGAGGCCACTGAAAGCTGCTTCCTGACCTTTGCTTCGTGACACTCAGAGGGCCTTCCTTTCTTCCCTTTTCTGAAAGTCGCTCACCCCTCAGCCAGGAGACACGAGACCCCCTGTCCCAAGCACTGTCAGCGTGTGGAGCGAGGCTATGCCCAGTTCCAGACGTCTGCCTCGGCGCCCCTCCGCCCGAGCACCGCCCCATCCTGTTCCTGGACAGCCTCCACGAGGTAGGGGTGGGAAACCCCCGACCGGGCTCAGCTGCACTGCCCGACACT